CGCCGTCATCACTTGATGCACAGCTGTTACGACAACTTCGGCCAACTTGCAGCAGTCTCGTGCCTTGGCACATGCCTGCAGCACTGCAAGATCATCCACATACGAAGGTGACCCTATGCGGCTGTCCAGCTGCTTGTCGCGGCTGGTGAAGGTGCGTCCTACCCGCGGGCACATGTCTTCAACGTTTAAGTCGATACCTTCTGCGAAAAACCTCATCCTCAACTCCTCATGCACGGGGGCAAAAGCGAGGGTAAAAAAGAAATCTGCAGGGTGCATGCCCGGCCTTGCTCCCAACGTCGCTTGTGCCACGGACGTAGCATCTTTTACCTGGAACCAAGTGCTCGAGTTGACATCGACAACTGCATCTCTCAAGTGCGGGCTACCTACCCTGTCGAACACAGCTGGCTCTGCCAGCAACTGTCTCATCACCCCTTCAAGAGCTAGCGGCAACTGCAGATTGTCGATGACATCCTCCAAGTCCTGCTGTGCTGACGGCAAGGCGGTCAAAAACTCACGAATGACTGTGTGAAACGCTGCTTTAAGGTCCGTGAAAAAAAGCACAGACGTATACCCCAGATGCCTAGCAAGGTCCTGAAAAACCCTTACTTGAAGCGATGCACCCGCCGTGCCTCTTCCTGAACGGCCCCCGTGCTGATCACAGTCCAACAAGACCGACGCAACGTCATGGATTTTGCGCCGTAGGAACTTGTGGTGATGCTTGCAGACATGCACGCCCAATAGGATCTCCCGAAAGTTTTTTAACAACCGAGCATCCCCCTTTTTGTACAAGTCATGCGCCACCCCGCCCTTCCATGCCAGGGGTTCCCGGCATGCCATCTGTACTTTTAAGACAAGTGGCAGCAGAATCTGTGCACTGAGGTCTGGTGCGGCCTGATACAGATCATTGGTGCACAAATCGTGCCCTGCTGCCCTGCGCCGCGCCGCACACTGGATGTCGCACTGCAGTCCCGCTAATGAATACAAGTCTGCCAACTCACGATGCCCGCTCGAGTGGAACTGCTGCTGCTGCTCATTATAGCGGGCCACGAGCTCTGGTACTATACAAATCTTGGCTCTCTCAGTGGCTGCGAAGTGCTCTAAGAGCCCTCGTGCCAGGGCCTCGCGTGACTCGTACGGCTGGCCTTCCTCGTTCACCCTCATAGGCAACACGTTTTTGTCCCCAGACTTACGCCCACCCCCAAAGGCAAGCAAACACTTAACTCCAGACCACTCCACACGGCCATCTCCTGAGTTAATAGCATCATTGATTTCGATGGCCTTTTCTTCCAGGAACCGAGTGCGATCACTCCGTAGCTTACGGCGAATCACATACTGCGAGGATCTCAGGAAAGCTACGCAAGCCCCGTGAAACTCCTGAACCCCATGGACCTGATCGACCCACAACCGAGCAGCAAACGTGAGGATGCCTACAGCCGAGTCAAACTCAGGAAGCGCCTCTCGAACAGCTGCCACCTGCGGGTCATCATGTGCCTTGATGAGTGACGCAGCAAAAAACAGGATAGGCCTAGCGTCTTCCCCTTTATAGGCACGGAGCACTCCACGCACGGTCCTCCTGAACCTGATACCCCACAAGGTTTCATCCCGAACATAGCTTTTGGTGGGACCCGGCTTGGTTTTACGAAAGTGACGCTCCGCGCACTCCTGGAAAAACTTCGTGATCAAACTGAAATGCTGGTTTACGTCTACTGACCAATGCACGCGTGGTGCAGACTGCAGGTCGCTTCTAAAGGCCTGCTGCTTCTCAGGATCCCGCATAGCTTCTTTGTCTAAGACGGGGCATGCCTTTTTTACGTCAAACTGCTCAGCCCATTGCAACTTCACGTATGCTGGGAAGTGATCTTGATGACTGCGCGCAACATCAAAGTCATGCAGCACTCCATGCTCACTCACATGTCCAAGCCAACACCTCGGCGTGCACACGTAGTCGACACGATGCTTAGCTCCCTGCTTAGCTCCCTGCTTATCGAGCGTGTAAGACGGGGTTGGGGAGGGACCGAAGGTGGAGGGGGCGCCCAAGCCATTAGCCGACAACAAACTATTGAAGAGACCCCCGTTGCTGTCCTCCTTGGCTGCCTGATACGACCCGATAGCTTCCGTTGGATTAGCACCTACTTTAGCATTGGCATCGAGCAAGAGAATGTCCACCCCGAACTTGGCTACGCTGCGCGTGGTCTCATCCCACCACTGCTTGCGCAACCTGAGCGGGGCCTCTGGACAGGGGCCGTGCCCCACCAGCACGACAGTGCGCCAGCATGGAGCATTGATTTTAACAACTAGCAGGCGCGGGCTGGCCTGCACCACGACGCAGTGCCTTGGCTTGAGAAAAACAGGTTTCCCCCCCACAGTGGCGTATGGAACCTTGAGGTTGACCCATAACTCGCATCCAAAATTCTTCCCCTCCTCCGCCCCCGATGCCAGGCAGTAAAAATCGTCGGCAGTGCGACTGCCGCGAGGCGTCCTCGCCTCCTGCACGCCTACGAGCAACGCCGCTGCTTCCTGAAACTGTTGCCTCAACCATTGGCCTCGCAAGACAGTCCTTTCGCCCTTTACCGTATCCTGCGCTGTCTCAGCATTATACGTGACAAGTATCATGGAGCGTTGCACCGCCTTTTGAACTTCTTCGTCGAGCTCTGGCTGCAAACATGTGGCAGGCAAGGCGCGCACATATAAGCCTGCTCCATCGCAACACATGTGCTGGGGCCGACAAGGCAACGTGAACTCAGCATGGTTCGAAAATGGATACTGTTGTTTGTCAGCTTCTGGCAAATCGAGCAACCAATTCCATTCTAGCTCGGGTGTGTGGTATAGCTGCTGCACTATCCATGGGGGAGTGCAGTCATATACAAAATCACGGGTAGACTTGGCCAGATCGTCGGCCATCTCGTTCCAACAATGCTTGTTATGTCCGTAGACATGCAGAATATGAACTGGCACACGGGCGGAAGCAATCTTATATATGTGTCTTGCTAGCGCTCCCAGCTTGGGTTCAGCATGCGGATACTGCTTGCCGAGCGTTATGGCTATGGCCACTTCGCAATCAGAAAATATCGTGACGGGGTAAAGCTCACGCTGCTCGCGCTGCTGCATGGTATAGCTAATCACCCAAATCAACGACCAAATCAAAGCCACCGTCTCGGCGGTGATCGAACTGACATCTTTTTCGAGCTGCATTCCAATCGTGGCAAAGACGGTCCCGGCCAAAAATCCCAAAAACCGAACATCTCCTTCTCCGTCCAAGCAAGTTGCTACCATTGCCCAACCGCTAAGTCCTCGCTCTGCCGTTAGAGAGCCGTCTGGAAACAAAGCAATGGGACCCATCGGCACCTCGCTAGGCGCAGCCGCCCCCAGCGCGAACTCCGCCTCCGCCTTGAGCTGGACTTCCCCTACCTCCCTCAAAAGGCAAAGAGGCGGCATTTCACTAATGCATCGAACGATCCGATCGGCACCCGAGAAATCGCATTTGGCATAGCCGTCGATGCCCTCCAGCAGCGCCTCTAAACTTATGACTGTTTTTGGTGTAGTGCAGGCCTGACCCGATCCCCCATCCTCGGACAAACCAACGCACTCATCAACAACAAACGTGCGAACCTCGGTCTCTCCCCAAGAGACTCGAGTTCTGCTGCGCTCGGCGGAAGCGGAGGCCGCGCTGGGCATGATACACGAACCTGGCGACTCGCAAACGACTTGAAAACTCGGACTGCCAGCGCTGACCGTAGACAAGCATAGGTCCCAGCCTGTCACGGAGCTCTCGTCCGAAGCGGTGTCGTCTCCCCCCCCCCGCCCAAGCTCACCCACGCAGTCCCACCCACCCATATCACTATCGGCAGATGCGTCAGACGCGCACGGCGAGCATATGATCCAGCTTTGCTGCTCCGCAACTGGGCCCCCAGCACTCAGTTGCACGAAGCTCGTGTCTGCTGCATCTGCATACAGGTCGTCATCCGTATCATATTCATGCACGCCTGAAGCCCCGGCGTGCCCAGCCATGTATCCAAATGACATGCTGGAATCGAGTGAAACGTTATCGTCCGTCATCTGAGCGCCTGCTGCCTCTGCAACAGGCTGCGTCTGTGCTGCCGAGCTGTCAGCTCCAGCTGACGGTTGAAAGTCGTGCACATCGTTAAAGGCATGCTGCAGTTGCCTGGGCGTGAGCGGATCTTCAAAATGCAAGAAAGACTCCCAGAACAGATTCGCTCGCGTCCTGGCTGCATCCCTTTCGGCAGTAGTTAAAATCGACATGCCCGACGCCTCTGCTTGCCACTGATCCCGCGTCAGCTGCAGTGCGGCAAGGGCGTGTACGATATGCTCGTGCCACTCGTCAGCGTGCGTGCTATTAACTGTCCTACGCCTCAGACGGTTCAACCTGCTAGTGTACTCGTCACGATCATGCTGTGCCAACGCCCAAGCACGGTCACATATATCGCGAGCTGCAAGCACGCATGCCTGTGTTGACGTGGCAAGCGGCGCAAAGATGGCACTGGTACGAATTTGCCATGAGACCCAGGCGACGCACTCGTCCATCCAACTATCATACGCTACATCAATGCCCTGCATGTGGGCCATGGTCGACCACGGTCGGCTCTGGCCTGCAAGTGATCTGGCTAGCACGCTGGCTGCGTGCTCGGCTGCACCCATGCCCAGGTGCGCACTACAAGATTTACGTGTTGCAAAAAAGGTCGGGATGATATTCCCGCCGCAAACCAGGTGGAGAGGTGCCAGCTGTGGCTCCTCATCATTACCTGCCAACAGAGGCGTCATGGGCACACCTGCCCAGTCAGTAGTGAACGAACTCCTCGAGGCTGTCGACGGTGCTGCAACATCCCTGCGTGCATCGTCTTCTGGCACGAGTCTGGTCGAACTCACGCACCTCCGTCTGCTGGAGTCGCTGCTGCCGCCGCGGCTGCGGTGCGCGCCTCGGGCACCGAGGCCGCCCCTGCTCTCTTCTCCTTTCTCGGCGGAGAAGCCGTCGTTTTGTCCACCTCGATCATCGTCTTGTCCGCCATCCCGTCGATCCTGCGCACCTCCGCCTGGACTGGCGACTCGTACTCGTGCGTGACACTCTCCGTCGGCGCTGGCAAGTAGGGATCGTCGAGCTGAGACGCCGTGGTCATTGGAACCCACGGCTGCGTCGGCTGTGAGCATTGCGGTCTGTGTATCACTGGTGTCGGCTGGCTGCTCTTGCCCTCGGCGTCGCCTGGCTCCACTGGCGATGTTGGCGAGCAGCTCATCCTTCCACACTTGGACGGGGCCTTCGGTGACGCCATTGCCGGCTTGGGCTGGCCCATGGGCGTCCCTGGCGCGGCATTCACACCTGCTGGTGTAGGCGGCGACCGCTGCGCTGGCGGCGGCGTCGTCTGTCCAGGCGTAGGCATCCCCCCAATCGGTGTCCTCGGTGCCGCTGCCACTGGCGTTGCTGGCGATCTCTGCGCAGGCGGCGGTGTAGATTCCACATCCATGGGCTCCGTCACTGCAGCTGCGGCTTGCGCTGGCGGCTGCGGTGGGAACACTGGCGGCGGCCTCTGCGGCACTGCTGCCGCTGCCGCTGGCGCGGCCTGGGGCGCTGTCCCTCCACTGGCGCCAGGCGTTGCAACACCTGACGCCGCCGCGGTAAACCCCATCGCCGACATGACCATGCCCATCTGCCTGTCCTGCTGCTCCATGCGCATCATCATCTGCTGCATCATCATTTCGATCGGAGACACCTGCTGCTGCGGCTGGAAACCTGGAGGCGGTGGCGGTGGGACGTGCGACGGCGCTGGACATGGTGCCGCACCCGCTGGCACACCAAAACGCCCAGGCGGCTGCTGCGGCCCTTGCCCATGCTGGGCGGCTGCGGCTGCCTGCATCTCCATCTCCTCTTCTTGGCGCTGCACCTCCAGCTCTGCCAGGTAGTCGTCCAGCTTGTTCACTTCGTCGCATAGCTCCTCTTCCTGCGTCTGATATGTGGCGATACGGGCTCTGGTATTGCTTAACTTGTCGATCGTGGCCTTCTTCTTGGCACGCATGGCTTCGATCTGCTGCCATGTTGGCTGGGTCGAACCCATCATGCACTTGAGCACGCTGAGCTTCTCGTCGAGCTTGGTCGCCTCTCCCTCGTCCGCTGCCCTTCTCGCCGCCATCGCCATCTTCGCATACTCCACCATGCGGTTGCGGGTCGCATCCTGAAACTGCTTTTGCGCCATGGGCTCCACTGGCGGCTCGTGGTAGAGCTGGCCGAAGTCTACGGCCTCGGCCTTTGTCATCGGGACGATCCTGGAGATGTACATTTTCACCTGCTTGTCGACTGGCTGTGACTTCGGCTTGCGGCTGGCACTGCGGTCCCTTCGATCCCGTCTGTCGCGCTCTGCCCGTGCATCTGCTGCCATCTGATCCCTTTGTGCATATTGCCGTTGCCCACGGGCGATCGATGCTGACGGCGGCCGAGCAACCTCCCCTTGGCGCAGACGATTCTGATGATGACCTCCGCACAAGCAACGCTGGTGATTCTTGACGTACCGCCCGCATGGGCAGTTCCAGTGTCCGAAGTTTGTCATGGCCGAATGGTGTTGCTGGAGCACCTCTGTTGCACGGAGCACTGCCAACAGGACTCGTGCTCTTGTTCGCCGTCTTCTCAACCTCTTGTGCCAGGATGTCTCCTTGGCTGTCGCAGACTGGGAAAGTGTGGGCTTATGAGATGTAATCTTCGCCGTAATCGCGCGCGCCCCAGTCACCAGCAATGCAGCTGAAACTGGCCAGGGGCGCGGCGCCTAAGCCCCGAGCTCACAGGCACTTCGGATGCCTGAGCCCAGGATGGCTTTGCTCCTCCTCCTCCTCCTGCTCCTCCTCCTCCTCCCTCTTCTCCTGCTCCTCCTCCTCCTCCTCCGAGTCGGACTGCGAGTTCAGCGAGGGGGGCTGAGGGGGCGCGGCCACCGTGTTTTCTGGCCCACCGCCCGCTGGCACCGCCGGTCACTGCAGTGCCATGCCGTCCGTGCCTCTACGCGAGGCCCACTGTGCCGATCGGGAGGAAGTGGATGAGGAAGAGGAGGAAGCGGACGAGGAGGAAGTGGAGTAGAAGAAGGTGGAGGAGGAGGAGGGGGAGGAGGAGGAGGAAGAGGAGGAGGAGGAGGAGGAGGACGGACGGATGGTCGTCATTATCGCCTCCCCCCGCAGGCCAGAATGACGAACGAATGGTCATCATTATCGCCTGCGGGGGGCGCGCTCCTGTGCCGGTCGAGGGTGATCTCCAGGAGGTTGCCGCCGAAGCAGCGCTCCATCACCAGGCAGACCACGGGCTCGCCGTCAAATGCCTCGGGGGAAGGAGGGAGGGGCAGGCGCGCAGGGGCGGCCTCCCTCATCATGCTCCCCGCCCTCGCTCGAACTCCCTGCGCTCGCTGATGCAGGGGTTATGATGTCGACCCATGTCCCACGCTTCGGGGGTTATTCGGACGGACCAGAACTTGGGCTCGGTGGAGCCCACCGCGGGGATGTACGACAAAGGGGGCGTCCATCCTCGATCCGGGGTGCGTCCGAACAGCCCCCTTGGCGTGTATCCCAGGATCCCTCCCCTGGTCCTGAGCGACCAAACTTTTCGGGCGGAGCTCGGGGGGACAGCAGCAGGGAGGAGGCCCTCCTCCTCCTCCTCCCTCCTCCTCCCTCCTTCCTCCTCCTCCTCCTCCTCCTCCTCCTCCTCCTCCTCCTCCTCCTCCTCCTCCTCCTCCTCCTCCTCCTCCTCCTCCTCCTCCTCCTCCTCCTCCTCCTCCTCCTCCTCCTCCTCCTCCTCCTCCTCCTCCTCCTCCTCCTCCTCCCCTCCTCCCTCCTCCTCCTCCTCCTCCTCTCCTCCTCCTCCTCCTCCTCCTCCTCCTCCTCCTCCTCCTCCCCCTCCTCTTTCCCTTCCTCCTCCACCCCCATGGGGCTCACGGCTGTTGACCCGAAACCCTCAGGGGCGGAAGATCGCCTGCGGCCACACGCGACCCGCGGCGTGTTGGCACGGTGCCTTACGATCAAGACTGACAACCCAGGTGTGGCAGGATACGTTCGCCAAACACAAGGCCAACTTGTGCCGAGCCGACACGCAACGTGTTAGAACGGACATGTTCAACACGGTACGTGTTGCGTGTCAAAACGTGCGGAGCAGGGCAACTAGGGTGAGGATAAATCCCACTGTGGTTTCGGAGCAGCTTCGACCTGGGCTCTAGCAAGTTTGCTTATAGGGAAGAGGGGGCGTGGCGAGGACCCAAAGCATGAGTTTCCTGGGGCTCGATTGCACGAATGTCCGGCTTAGCGCGCTTGAAAAGGCGGGGGAAGAGGAGGGGGGGGGTACATGCCACACGTGTAAAGCTGTCACCGTAATCCGAAATAGAAACACGCTCTCGGGAAATTCGTGCCTGCAACCTCCTTCCGCACCTTCGAGGAGAGCTTTGCTCCTCGCCCTACCCCCTCACCCTGACCCTAGGTCTTGGGGAAGGTGACACGAGGTGTTAGAACGTCAACAGTGGCCCCATGATGGCACCAAGACGGCCCAAAGAGCGGCAAAGAGCGCAGAGTGTCCCTTGCAGGCCCCAATAGGCACTTGTGTCCGCCTCCGAGGGGATTGGGGGAGGGCGGGCGTAATTGACGCAGCCCTCTTCTCGATTGACGGGCCAAGACTGAACGCCACAGACATTCTCAGTGGCCAAAAAAAGGCTCCAAGGGCTGGGCATCGGCATAGCCATCGGCATCCCCGGGAACTTTCGACGGTTCTTTCAGATTCCTTGGCTCGGCGCGCGGATCGCGTCAGGGGCGGCGCTGGAGGCGCCGCCGAGGGGGTTCAGCACCGATCACAGAAATCCGCGCGAACCTCCAAACGTTTGTGCTTATGTTCGAGGCATGCCTGGGGGTAAGTGAGAGCGGGCGGGTCTTGCCAGAAGGCCAGAAAATCCCCCGCCCTTCTGAGAACGTGTTCTGAACCACCCCCGACGACGCCGGAAACGTCTCAGAAGGCTGGAGGGCTTCTGGGCAGCCCCGCCGCCTTCTCAGGAGGTCTTCTTTTTCTTCTCACCTCCCCCACCTCGCTCGCCGCCGACTTGTGCTTCTGTTTTTTCTTTGACGACATCTTTCGCTCGCCAGTCCGTGGGCAGCTCGGGTCGCGCGCGAGTGGGCGGGAAGGTGTCGCCCTCGCACAGGAGCGCCGCGCCGCTGCTACAGGCGCGCCGGGGCCTGGAGGCCCCGAGCCTGACTCCAGACGACAGGCGGGCAGTGGCGTGCAGCGCCCAAGAGCAAGTCCCCCTACAGGCGGTTCCCGAGGGACAAACAAAAAATAGCCAAAGTATACACAACAATAGCTTTAAAACAAGAAAAATCGTCCCCAGATGATTCTTGACTATTTTTGAATACTCCTCCTGTAGAGGGACATGCCCGACCTACGCCTTCCGAGAGGGCCTTCTCCTTTTCGCTTCGCCCCCTCGCTCGCCGCCGAACTGCGGCGCGCTCGGTACACTCCCAGCCTCGTTGGAGGCCTGGACACGGGCACCAACACCAGCACAAAGGTTGCCTCCACAAGGGGAAGCTGACCCTAGATTCCGGCGTTGGTGATCATACCTCTGTCGCCTTGGGAGCCAGAGTACTACCACGAGCACCGAGATCGGACTCTTCTTCCCTCGGTGGAGGCACGCCGCCGATATTGGTGCTGGTGTCAACCTCTGGGGCCTGCGACCACGGGCCGCTCCTCCGACGGCGGGGCGCTCCAAAGGCTCCGGCGGGGGCCCTCCTCCCCCTGCGCTCGGAGGAGCGACGCGCGGGCGCGTGACCGCGCGCGGGCCGCGCCAAGGCCGCTCTGCCCCGCCCCCCGCGGGGAGAGGAGCAGAGGGGCCAGAAGGGACACATACACGGCTAAATTCGGGTCCGCCCCGCCCCCGCCCCCCTCGGGGGGGGGGGGGGGGAAGTGGCCAGAAGAGACACCTATGTACGGCTAAATTCGGAGGCGTCCAAGAGGGGCCCCGCGGCCCCCAGGCAGACCCCCAGGAGGCCCCCAGGGAGGACCCCCAAAAACGGCCCCCTCGGAGGAGCCCGAGGGGCCCCCCCAGGAGGCCTCCGAACTGCCTCCGAGAGGGCACCCACGAGGTGCCAACGACCATTCACGAGGCTTCGCCCCCGCGCCCTATAGGCACGGTGGCGGCATGGGCAGGAGGCCACGAGATCTGCCGCTGCCTCGGGGGGCGTCGGCGAGGGTGGCGTCAAAGAAGGGGATCGCAGATCGTGGCCCGAGGCACGGGCCGCGGACGGGGGGGGGCATCCGCGGTCGTGTCGGAAGGAGACGGCGGGGGGGCATGAGAGCTGGATAGCTGTGATAGCTGTCAAGGCCCTGGCCATGATGTACCCCTATCAAGGGGCCCATGGAAACACAAGTAGATAGACACAAATACCCGGATCCCCCATATTCTCATATGTGTTCTAACTTGTTCGTCTTCCCCCCACTTCCCATAGTTGCCTGGGAATCGTCGATTAAGTTTGTCTGTGTGTTTGTTCCCGCCTGACCTTACTCATCACGCCCCTCATGGTCGCCCCCGGCTACTCCACGGCCCTGACCACAGAGAGCATTCGGACCAAGACGCCGTGGCAAACTCATCAGTGGCGACGACAGAATCGCAGCGGCATCGCTGCCCTTTCCTACCTCGTCCCTGAGGTCCGACGTCGCGAAAAGAAACGAAACACCGTCGAACATCGAGCATCGAAACACTATCGCATGGCAGCGGAATCGATACCTTGCCCCTCCCGACGCCGAGGCCAAGACGACACGAGGACGGCCGCCGCCGACGACGACACGACGACGAAAGCGGCGACGACGACGACGATTCTCTGCCCACGCAGGCCTCCACCAGCTCGACGATGTTCGGGTGCCGCAGACTCGCGTGCAAGGCGATCTCGCCCTCACAGGAACACTGGAACCGCGACCCCACCATTAAGTCGGGCGTGTCCCCCTACAGGCGGATGTTGGACGATTTGCTCGCGCAAATTATCCCGGCACAGCAACCTAACAGCGATGTGTAGGAGCATATCTGGAAGCATTCCCCTTAAGATTCAAATGAGAACCCAGTTGTAGAATTCTGCTGTTCTCGCAGACGTAGTCGCATTCGCGATGACAGTTGCAGCGGCAACGGCAGTCGCAGTCACAGCCTCAGCCTAAGTCTGCCTCAGCCTCTGCCTCAGCCTGCCTCAGCCTCAGCCTCAGCCTGCTTCAGCCTCACCCTCAGTCTGCCTTCAGCCTCGGCCTCAGCCTCAGCCTGCCTCAGCCTCACCCTGCATCAGCCTCAGCCTCAGCCTCAGTCTGCCTCAGCATCAGCCTGCATCAGCCTCAACCTCAGCCTGCCTCAGCCTCAGCCTCAGCCTCAGCCTGCTTCAGCCTCAGCCTCAGTCTGCCGTCGGCCTCGGCCTCGGCCTCGGCCTGCCTCAGCCTCAGCCTCAGCCTCAGCCTGCCTCAGCATCAGCCTGCCTCAGCCTCAGCCTCAGCCTCAGCCTGCCTCAGCCTGCTTCAGCCTGCTTCAGCCTCAGCATCAGTCTGCCCGCAGCCTCGGCCTCAGCCTCAGCCTGCCTCAGCCTGAGCCTGCCTCAGCCTCAGCCTCAGCCTCAGCCTCAGCCTCAGCCTACCTCAGCCTCAGCCTGCCTCAGCATCAGCCTCAGCCTCAGTCTGCCTCAGCCTCAGCCTCAGCCTGCTTCAGCCTCAGACTCAGTCTGCCTTCAGCCTCGGCCTCAGCCTCAGCCTGCCGCAGCCTCAGCCTGCATCAGCCTCAGCCTCAGCCTGTCTCAGCCTCAGCCTCAGCCTCAGCCTCAGCCTCAGCCTCAGCCTGCAGCCTCAGCCTCAGCCTCAGCCTCAGCTCCTCAGCCTGCCTCAGCCTCAGCCTCAGCCTCAGCCTCAGCCTCAGCCTCAGCCTGCTTCAGCCTCAGCCTCAGTCTGCCTTCAGCCTCGGCCTCAGCCTCAGCCTGCCTCAGCCTCAGCCTGCAGCCTCAGCCTCAGCCTCAGCCTGCCTCAGCCTCAGCCTCAGCCTCAGCCTGCCTCAGCCTCAGCCTCAGCCTGCCAGCCTCAGCCTCAGCCCTCAGCCTCGGCCTCAGCCTCAGCCTCAGCCTGCATCAGCCTCAGCCTCAGCCTCAGCCTGCCTCAGCATCAGCCTGCCTCAGCCTCAGCCTCAGCCTGCCTCAGCCTCAGCCTCAGCCTGCTCAGCCTCAGCCTCGTCTGCCTTCAGCCTCGGCCTCAGCCTCAGCCTGCCTCAGCCTCAGCCTGCATCAGCCTCAGCCTCAGCCTCAGCCTGCCTCAGCCTCAGCCTGCCTCAGCCTCAGCCTCAGCCTGCCTCAGCCTCAGCCTCAGCCTGCTTCAGCCTCAGCCTCAGCCTCAGCCTGCCTCAGCCTCAGCCTGCCTCAGCCTCAGCCAGCCTGCCTCAGCCTCAGCCTCAGCCTGCCTGCAGCCTCAGCCTCAGTCTGCCTTCAGCCTCGGCCTCAGCCTCAGCCTGCCTCAGCCTCAGCCTGCATCAGCCTCAGCCTCAGCCTCAGCCTGCCTCAGCATCAGCCTGCCTCAGCCTCAGCCTCAGCCTGCCTCAGCCTCAGCCTCAGCCTGCTTCAGCCTCAGCCTCAGTCTGCCTTCAGCCTCGGCCTCGCCTCAGCCTCAGCCTGCCTCAGCCTCAGCCTCAGCCTGCAGCCTGCAGCCTCAGCCTCAGCCTCAGCCTGCCTCAGCCTCAGCCTCAGCCTCAGCCTCAGCCTGCCTCAGCCAGCCTGCAGCCTCAGCCTCAGCCTGCCTCAGCCTCAGCCTCAGCCTGCAGCCTCAGCCTCAGGCTTCAGCCTCAGCCTCAGCAGCCTCAGCCTCAGCCTGCCTCAGCCTCAGCCAAGCCTCAGCCTGCCTCAGCCAGCCTCAGCCTGCCTTGCATCAAAAAAAAATGAGGCCAAGGAATGGAGTTCTGGGAACTCGAAGAACACGAAGTGGCCTACAGTTGGCTCCGGGCATTCAAAATCATGGCCCGGGAATGGAGTTCTGGGAACTCGAAGACCACGAAGTGGCCTACAGTTGGCTCCGGGCATTCAAAATGTGGCCCGGGAATGGAGTTCTGGGAAGTCGAAGAGCACGAAGTGGCCTACAGTTGGCTCCGGGCATTCAAAATGTGGCCCGGGAATGGAGTTCTGGGAAGTCGAAGAGCACGAAGTGGCCTACAGTTGGCTCCGGGCATCAAAATGTGGCCCGGGAATGGAGTTCTGGGAACTCGAAGAACACGAAGTGGCCTACAGTTGGCTCCGGGCATTCAAAATGTGGCCCGGGAATGGAGTTCTGGGAAGTCGAAGAGCACGAAGTGGCCTACAGTTGGCTCCGGGCATTCAGAATGTGGCCCGGGAATGGAGTTCTGGGAGGTCGAAGAGCACGAAGTGACCTATCAGTCTTCGCTGTTAGGTAATCCCCCTACAGGCGGATGTTGGACGATTTGTTCGCGCAAAAAATGAAATTCCCCAACATATTCAAACAATCGCTCCCAGACTATGCTTTCCTATTTCTGAATGTTCCTCCTGTAGAGGGACATGCCCGACTCAACACCACCACCTCCACCAGTGCGGGGAGCCAGCGGGGTCCTCCTGATGACGCGGACCCCCCTCCCCGCTCAGGACTTTCTTAACGGGCGAAGAACGGTATAGAATAAACTTTTTCGCTGTCAGGGGCGCCTGTCCCAGGGCAGCTGGAAAGTTTATACCCTTACGGTGGCACTGTAGGGGTATGAACTTTCCAGCCGCCCAGGGACAGGCGCCCCCGACAGCGAAAAAGTGTCTTTTATGCCGTTCTTCGCTCGCTGACTTTCCGCATCCTAGAGGCATCCCAAATGGGGTCCGAGTAGCTGGGGTCGGAGGACCAGGCCGCAGCGCCGACGCATCGGCGACGTGTCGGCACCGCCAGCGTGACGCACATCGGGCTCCCGCGCCGAGCCGCACCTCGCCGATGCAGCGGCGAGGCGGCGCGATGCTCCGACCCCCCATGGTGCTCGGACCCCATGCTGGGTGCCTCGATGTCCCGAGCCAGGGAAGGCATCCTGGACCTCCTTGCTGGAGCTCGCACGCACCCCCTGGCGGCGGCAGTGTCTCAGCGGCGTCCAGCGGGGGGTCGTCCAAGAGGGGGATTAACGCGCAAATCCTGGCGCCGGAGGCACGGGCGCGGACGGGGCGGGGGGAGGGGTCAAGGGAAGCATTGGAATGAGAAGATGGGGACATGAGATCTGGGGAGATGTCATGGGACGCACAGGAACATACTAATACTATATATCCTCCTTTGAGGCGCGCGTCAGACCCGAACATATAGTAAACCCATCTTGCAGTATATCGTTTCCCGAGCTGCGTGGCCAAAAATCACCCGCCACGACGCATATACTATGAGATTTCTCGGTGCGCGCGTCGCCACTGGGGGGGCGACGCACATATGTAGTATCAGTATGTTGGGGTGACGCCGATGCCATTTCCCTGGCCATGATCGCCCCCCCTCGAGCATCACCCCCCCTTTGGGCGCCCCCGATCGTCGCTCATCTTGAGAGCTTTGTCGCAATTTTCACGACAACGGCCGTTGCTGGCCCTCGCCGCCACCCTCCCGCCCCCGGGTGGCGTCACGATCCGTGCCGACCTCCGAGCTGTCTGTGGCTGCTCCTGTATTTTCCCAGACAACGCCGGCGTGAAACGTGACGTTATACTGGCGCCACGCCCCCCTCTCGGGGGCGGCGAAGGGGAGCGTCCAAGAGGGGGGGGCGCAAATCATGGCCAGATGCACGTGCGCGGCCCAGGGGAGAGGGGCCCGGCACGTCATGAAATAAGAAGAGGCACCATGAAATCTGAGGAAATATCATGACCCACGCCATGATATCCACCCACCCCATTCATCACCCCCCTCTTTGCCGCCCCCAATCCCCTCCCCCCCTGGTAACGCCCGTTACCGCCCGGGACTCAAAAAGCAAACGCTCCCATTCCCTTTGACCTCGCGGCTGCCGCTGCCGAACAGGAAGCGGCGGTTCCGCACGGGCATCTTGCTGGAGTCGATGCGCTTCGCGACGAGCTGCGGGCGCGCGCACGCGGGGGACCGTCGTCCATCCAGGGGCTCGGGGTCAGGGTCCACAAGCAGCGCAGACTGCCAAGAAGCTGGCACCTCAGATCCAGGTAATTAACCAACATACTGGAACACACAACACGTAATCAAATGCGTTACTTGTTACGGCGGCCAGCCTTCGGCCCTCGCCGAGCCCCTGGGCCGTCAAGCAACTACTCGGGACGACGTGCTGGTCCCTGGCAAGGGTCGAGACCTCGGGTGGCTCCGTGCTCGAGCAATCAAGGCATCGGATCTCTGGGGACTCCAGAATCGGAGGGCGATGATAGGGCGAGCGCGCGGACGAGGAGGCGGACGAGGACGAGGAGGAAGAGAGGAGAAAATGAGGAGGAGGAGGAGGAGGAGGAGGAGGAGGAGGAGACAAGGAGGAGGAGGAGGAGAAAGAGGAGGAGGGGAAAGGGGAGAGAGTAGAGAAGGAGGAGGAGGAGGAGGAGGAGGAGGAGGAAAAAAGAGGAGGGGGAGGGGCAGGAGGAGGAGGAGTAGGAGGAGGAGGAGGAGGAGGAAGCGGAGGAGGAAGCCGAGGAGGAGGGGGATTGTGGAGGAGGAAGAGGAGGGGAGGCGGAGGAGGAGGAGGAGAAGGAGGAGGAAGCCGAGGAGGAGGAGGAGGAGGAGGAGGAGGACGACGAGGAGGAGCAGGAGGAGGAGGAGGAGGAGGAGGAGGAGGAGGGGGGAAGGGGGAGGGAGAAGACGATGAGGGCGAGCGCGCGGACGAGGAGGGACGCGAGACCGAGACAACGGTGTTTGACCCGTCGTGGCCCCGCGCGGGCCTCTGGAGGCCTCCCCCGAGGCTCTCCGCGGACCTCCGCCGCCCTCTCGCGAGGCCGGGAGCGCCCACAGCCAAGAGCCCACGGCGCGGAGGGGAGGCCTCGCACTGGCGACGCCTCCACGTTGCGCCGCGGCCACGCGCGCGGGGGTGGACGAGAGGGCAGAATAGCAGAGGCCAGGGTGGGGAATCAGCCCAGGCACGGTGATGGCATTGGATAAGGAAACCTTCGGCAAGGAATCCAGGGTCTGGAAGCCAGTGGGAAGCCGATCGTGGGTTGGCCATGGATATCACCGCCGTCATCAGATAAGGAACCCTCCAGGGTCTGAAGCATCCTGGGCGCATCCTTCAACCAACTCCGCCACCGTGGCTGGTTTGCCTGGCGCCTCTTGGCGCCAAGAGGCGCCAATGTAACTCGAGGAAGAGGCCTGGCGGCGGGGGCGAGACCAGCTGCATGCATCAGATTTCAGAACCCACCCTTTCCCTATTCCTACCCTTCCGTCCGGCCCGATTTTCGAGTCAGAACTCGGGTCTCCGGAGGCCGTTCGGGACGTTCTGGGCACCTCGAGATCGCCCCGGGATTGGCCGAAGGCCGATGCGCCGCCCCCTGTTGGCTTGCCACATGGGGGACCTGGCGTGCTAAATCCTGTACGGCTTGGTTCGGACCCTTTTCCAAAAGAGCTCCTCCTGGGTCTTCGGTCCAGCGCGCTGGCCACCTGGAAAGCTCCGGGCGAGGTGGTCGCACAGGATGTTGCTGCTCAAGATGGCTCCAAGACGGCCCACGATGGCCTCCAAGACGACCAAGATGACTCTGAAGTTCGGCCAAGATTGTCCAAGATGGCCTCCAAGGTGGCCCAAGAGGGTCCAAGATACCTCCAAGTTTGCCCAAGATGCCTCCAAAACGGCCCAAGAGCCTCCAATTGGTCCTCCAGGAGGGCCCGAAGAGGCCAAAACTTTGGATTCTCCGTTGGTTTTTCCACGGCCCAAGACGACTCAAGAGGCCCCCAAGATCGCCCCAGAGCGCCGAAGAGGCCTCCAGGATGGCCCAAAATGGCCTCCAAGACGGCCCTGAAACGCCCCAAAAGGACCTCAAAGACCGTCCATGGGGGCCCCCAAGGCCGCTCCCCACACCGCGTCAGACGGCCCAGGAACGCCCTCAGACGGCCATAGAGGCCCCGAACCAGCCCCGAAAGGCCCCCAAGAGGTCGAAGAAGACCCCCCGAAAGGGTCTCCAAGAGGCTGCCGGGAAGCTCCCAGGAGACCCCAAGAGTGCCCAATGAGGTTCCCAAGAGGTCTACTCCTCCTCCTTCTCCTCCTCCTCCTCCTCTTGCTCCTCCTCCTTCCTTTTCCTCCTTCTCCTCATCTTCTTCTTCCTCACATGTTCTCCGAAAGGTTTGGGGAGGCACATGGTCCGATAGCTTGGCCAAGCTCTAGCCCAACTTTCGGCCACATAGGCGCTTTCAACAAGGCAGGGGACGGCAGTGATTCGCCTTGGGCATCTTCGATAGAGGGAGATCAATCGTGAGATCAATCGGTAGATAGCGAGTCAGTTCGACAGATAGATGGCCGAATCGGTGCTCCGTGGTGGCCAGGTTGTCCACCGAATCCAATCCGACCCAATGTCGCAAAGCGAAAGCTGAACCCCCCCCCTCCCCCCACAAAACCTCCTCATCACCCAAAGGGTGGTCGTTCAGTAAGAGCTCGACCACGAGACGCCTTCCACAAGAAACCCAACCCTGGAACCTCAGGACGTTCATCGGTTTTTGGTGCGGGAACATCCCGCACTCCATGGCAAAGCCATCAAAGCCCGAGAAACCCAAGGCACCCTGGAGGCAAGCAGGGTGCTTCTTGGCACGGGCTTCCACTGCACATCCTCGCGGTGGGGCCTCACAGCAGCAGCGAAGCAGCAGCGGGAGGCCACGATGGGAGGCAGACGGCGGTTGCGGAGTCGGACCATGGCCAAAACAGCAGCGCTGATCGAGAGCACGAGCCCCTCTGTCGAGGGCCCCCTTGCCCCACTGGGAGGCCACTTGCGCACGCCACCCCACCACCCCACGATGGCGAAGGGGGGAGGTGGGGCTTCGCTTCGCTCGGGGCCTCCCGAGCGGCTGGACCCCGCCTCCCCCCCTTAAGAACTCGTGGGGTGGTGGGGCAGATTGGCGGTGCGCAGGAGGGGGGTAGGGGAAAGGGGGAAGGCTTCTTAGAAGATGGCTGCTTCTTAGAAGGCGCCAGCCTTACATCTGTAGAAAAGGATCGCGCCTTCTAAGAAGCAGGGGTGCTTCTGAGAAGCCTTCCCCCCTCCCCCTACTCCCCTCTGCGCGTGGCCGGGCAGAGTTCGCCCGTGGCCAGCGGCCCATGGAGACGCCCCAGCCGAGGACCCCCTCCCGAGGCGGGAGCCCAGGCGCGAAGGGCACTGAGGGCACCCCTCCAGAGCAGAAGCCTCGTGCCAGCTGCAGGGCAGCTCGGGAGGGGATCTACGCAGGCAGAGGCAGCAGGGCCAATTCGCCCCCCCCCCCCCCCCCCAGCCACCCCTCCAAAGGGGCCCAGGGAGACACAAAGAAATAAGCACAAGGTCCAGTATTCCAAATATGTTGCCACATTCTCTGGCTGTTAGTCTCCCCCTCCACTTCCCATCTTTTCCTAAATTTTCATTGGGATCGACGTTTACTGGTGCATGTGTCAATTTTTCCCTCTTGAGTCCCCCCCTCCTCCTCCTCCTCCTCCTGCCTCCTCCTCCTCCTCCTCCTCCTCCTCCTCCTCCTCCTCCTCCTCCTCCACTGGGCGCCTCAGCCGTCGACGAATACGATATTCGGGGCCGACGGAGAGGCCATGGGGATGGCTCAAGGCAGAGGACCCTGGGACGTGGCGCATTTTGTGCCTGCCGCGGCCAGTCAGCGTCAGCCGCCCGGCAAAAGAAAACCGTGACACCCCAACTCGTCTGCCCGGCTGCACGGGCCAAGCAGCAACAACGTTCCGGCATGCGGGGTAGGAAGCAGCCCATGCTCACCACAGCACGGCGGATGACTGCGCAGTCTCACAAGTTCGCCCACCCTGCGGAGGGGACCCCAACAGGGCAGGCTGGAAAAAGGAGCCGGGGCCAGTGCCTCACGTGATACAGGTAGGGCGCGCCGCAGCGCTGCAGCGCCTCAAGGTGAAAGGGTGGGCACGGTACGCCAATGCCGCCTCATTAGCTCCATTCTCATGCACCGTTCTCTATCGGCGGTGGAGAAGCCTCCCTTTAGCAAACCTCCCTGTCGTGAAAGTGGCCCAGGACCGGAACCGACGCACCTGGACCCGCAAAGCCGACGCCCGCGACGCCCTCTCGCAAACCGAACGCGGCCAACTCGCTACTCGACGCGTCAGGGAAGGCGGCTTGTCGACCTCCGCTCTCTATTTTGGACGCCCGAAATGGGCACGGAAAGAATGGGCGCAATGCCCAACAGCAACTGTTGTCCCAAACCAACAGCGGCCGCTGTTGGGCACGCGGCCTTCTGTCTCGAATGGACACAGGCCGCGGCGGCGTGGACAGCGAGTCCTGTTCAAAATGAGCAGGCTCCGCTGTGTGGCAATGTACCCACTCTTTCCGTGCCCATTCCGTTCGTGCAGATCTATGGGGCCCACCCCGAGGCGAGGGCGGAGGGCGGCGTGGGGCCCGCGGCGGCCGGCCGGGGGCTCACTCCCGGCCGAAGAGCACGTAGCCGCAGCCCTCCGGGGTGTCCAGGCAGGCGATGGCCCCGACCTCCCAGGTGCGCAGGGAGTCCCCGCACGCCGACGGGCCGTAGTGCTCCAGGGAGCCCTCGGGCGCACCGCCAGAGCACACACGCCCGAGCATACGGCGGCTTGCGCCGGGTCGGGCAGCACGTGTCCCCCCACGGGCGGATCTGGGGCCAAAAAATACAAGATACTCCACAGATGCCCCCAGACTATCTTTTCACACAGAAATTTAAAAAAACACTTAAACAATAACCAAACAATAGTCTGAAAAAATCGTCCCCGGACTATTTTGTGTGAAGATTTCCCATGTAGAAGGACAGGCACGACTCAAATCTTGCGTCTCTCAAGGCGCGGAGGCCGACGAGGCCCGGAGAGGGACGGCATCGGACCGGGATGCGTCGGGGATCTGTGGGGTGCGGCGGCTCTGGGCGCCCCAGGCGCGGAAACGCTCTGAGGAAGTCGGGGCACTCGGTCCCAGCCTTCGGTCGGGCATGTCCCCCTCCAGGCAGATTTTCAGCGAGCAATAAAAACAGAGCGAACGAATGGCCACAAATTGCCAAACGTAGTCGACAATGGCCCCCAGACTATTTTTTCGCCAAAAAAATAAATAGACCTCCTGAAGAGGGACACGCCCGACATAATCCTAGCCCCGCCCGGTACGCATGCCCCCGGAAATCCCCACTTTTTCCCCACGGCCGGTTTCTCGTCGCGGGTCGTCTTCGCGAACGGTCCCCGGGCCCCGCGAGGGCTCACAGAAGAAAAAAAAGGAAACGAGCAACCTCCGCCCTGATGCATTCAAGACGTCGCATGTCTGTGGACTGGCGGCGAGCGAGGGGGGGAAGTGAGAAGGAGAAGGCCAAGTCCCCTTAAGGCCAGACTGCGCCTTGGACAGGATCGAGCATCGAGGATCGAGCTCGATGATCGAGGATCCTGGATCGAGGATCGAGGATCGAGGCAAGAAGATCAAAGATCGAGGTTCGAGGATCCTGGATCGAAGATCGGGCATCGAGGTTCGCGGTTCGAGGATCCTGGGAAGGAGAAGGCCAAGTCTGAACAATTTTTAATCAAGCCTTCCCCGAAGACAGGAACAAACACTTCTCAGTAGGCGCGAGGGAGCTTCTGAGAAGCTCCGCCGCCTACGAAGGACGCATGTTCCTTCTCGTGTTCTCCCCTTGCTCGCCGCCGAACACAGGACAGAAAAACACACGGCATAAACACAAAACTTCTCGGAGGTCCGCGCGGACTTGCCCCTTGGCGCGCGGAGCGCGCACAGGGGCGGCGCCGGAGGCGCCGCCAGGGGGGCCCCAGCGCCGATGCCCCCCAAACCTGCGGATCTTAGAACAATTAACTTCTATGTATGTGCCGTTCTTCGCCCCGCGCGGCCGCCCTCGCCAATTGATCCTCCTGCACACCCGACAGTTCGCCTTGCGGTTGCCCCGGCTACGGCAGGTCAGCGCCGTGTCCACCCCGGCGCTGGTTCCTGACAACGCGGGGATCGTTAGAACTGGGATGCTCGGCCCTTCCAAAAATGAAGGGGCCCTGGGACACACAAATAAATACACACAAATAAAAGGATCCCCCATATTTTCCCATATTTTCTGGATTTTTGTCTTCCCCCCCACTTCCCATATTTTCCCATATTTTCTGGGGAGTCGACGATTCATGGTGTCTGTGTGTTTTTTTCCCTCCTGAAAAAAGGCCCGATCGTGCAAGGATGGGCCGACTCTTGGCCACGGGTGGCGTTCGACCTTCCACGCCCGCGCTGGGGTCGCCGCCAGTCGACACGACGCGGGCCTGCCGTGGCCACGCGCCGGAGCGGCCTGCCCGTGCCTCGCCGCCAGAGGGAAACACAGAAGTCGCATGCCGCTCTCCGCTGCCCTCGAGGCCGGGCCACGGCTCTCCCCGACGCCCTGGGGCACGGCCCCACGCCCGCAGAGAGGTGGGCGCAGTCCGAGGGAGCGGGTCTTCACGGGGACCCCAGCACACGCAGCAGCTTCCGGTGCTCGCTCCAAGACGGCCTCTATCCTCGATCCTCCTCCTCCTCCTCCTCCTCCTCCTCCTCCTCCTCCTCCTCCTCCACATCATCATCATCATCATCATCATCATCATCATCATCATCATCATCATCATCATCATCATCATCATCATCATCATCATCATCATCATCATCATCATCATCACCATCACCATCACCATCACCATCACCATCACCATCACCATCATCACTCACCACCACCATTACCATCACCATCACCATAGCACCAGCACCAACACCAGCACCAGCATCAGCATCAGCATCAGCATCAGCATCATCAGCATCACCATGAGCACCAGCATCATCATATCATCATCATCAATCAGCAGCATCAGCAGCATCAGCATCGCATCAGCATCAGCATCAGCATCAGCATCCTCATCCTCATCCTCATCCTCATCACCATCACCATCACATCACCATCACCATCACCATCACCATCACCATCACCACCATCACCATCACCATCACCATCCCATCACCATCACCATCACCATCACCATCACCATCACCATCACCATCATCATGCACCATCACCATCACATCACCATCACCCATCATCATCATCATCATCAATCAATCATCATCATCATCATCATCAACATCATCATCATCATCATCATCATCATCATCCCGAAGGCCCCAAAACGGCCCAGGCGGCCCCTAAGACTGCCCCGAGAGGGGGCCCAGGACGGGGGACCCGAACGGACATGTCGAGCCATCGGCCTCAAGAGGCCGCCAGGAGGCCCCAAGAGGCCCCCAAGGGGCCCCAAGAGGCCTCCAAGACCTATGATGTCACAATCGGGCGCGCCACTCTCTGCTCCACAATCGTGATGCGTTCCATTGTTCTGCCTCTCTCTCTTCGTATTTCCTGCAGAGCTGCCGATCGCACTCTTCTGCCCACGCGTTCTTCCGGATGCTTGGCAATGCTGGCCGGCTGGCCGGCACTTTGCCCCCAACCTGTGCCACCGCTCGGACGGCGCCGGACCGAACAGGTGTGCAAGCGAGTCCCGACTTGCTTGAGGTCGCGTTTCCTTGCGGTCCCCCCCCCGCGCCCCCCCATCTCCACGCATGCAAACAGAAACTTGCCAGGATCCGAACAAACCTCGAGGCCCCCAAAAGAAAACTCAGACCCGGAGGGGGGGGGGGCCCGTCGAGGCAACGGCGGCCCCCTCTGGCGTGCTCCGCCGCCCCGGCTGGGCCTCCCGGGTGCCCCCTCGCCGCCACGGCAGGCCTCGCCGCGCAGGCAATCGATCGGGAGAAACCCCAGAGAAGGGGTTCGGGGACCGAAGTCGCACATATCTGGGCCGGCGGGAGAGCCGCTGTTTGTCCCGGCGGCACCCCACCGACCGACCGAGAACGGGAGCAAGCGATGAAAACACAAAAGACTGGAGCAGACGATTCGAATCATAGATAGTTTCGCGGGCCTTCGTGCGTGCCACCGCAGTAATTAGCGGGGGGCGGGGCAAGCAAACGGAGGGCGAACAGTCCTGGGGTGTCTGGAGGCCAAACGGGGGAAGGGCTGACAGTTCAGGGCGGGGGGGGGGGGGGGCAATTCCGAGCCGGGCAGGCCAAAGCAGCCTGACGGAGGGCGGACGATCTCTGACTGCCTGGGAAGGACCCCGTGGGCTGACAACTCGAAGCCGCAGGGGCGGACGACTCGGGGCCGCGGGGCTGCCTGCGGCCAGCCGCCCTGCGTGGAAAGCAAGACATGATGTGCAGGGCGGAAAGAGACAACTCCGAGAAGGAGAGGGCAGGAGCAGTCTGACCGACGTCGACGCGGTGCTTCCGTGGAATCACTCGCTCGGAAACGCAGGCGGAGAGGGGGGAGCGATTAAAGCAACGCTTTCATCGCCGCGGTGTCTGCGACAGTGCTCGCGCTGCGTCTGCTGCGTTCCACCTCTTCGACAGCGCCCTCCTTTACCTACACCCTATCCTTCCTCTCTCTGCAATCCCCCCCCCCGCCGCGCGGGAGATCAGGCGAGGAGCGAATGGAACATCGATCTCCGCTCGACGGCAGAAAACTGCGGGGGGGGGGGGGGGCGACGATTAGAAACTCAATTCCCGGAGGCTGAATCTTATTAGTCTGCCCCGCTCATTCATTTTGGCCCTCCCCGAGGGGGGCGTCTTTGTGCTGTTTTTGAAATTAAGAAATCTCTTGCCCCCATAACCGCCATTCCGCGGCCCCTTCCTGGGGCGAGCTCCGGCCAGGCTTTCGTAGCAAATCCCGCCACGGCGACGAGGGCAGCGCAGCAGTATGCCCGCAACCTGTCCTCATCTGATTTGCCGCTGAGATCTGGCGTCGCGAAATAAACTGAATATCGTGTAACAAACCACGGATGGAGCCTTACAGTGGAGGCCAGTCCACAAGAACCCTTCCACCAGAAACCCAACCCTGAGACACTAGGACGTCCATGGATGATTAGGTGTGGGAAGGTCACGCTTCCCGTAGCAAAAACATCAAAACCCTAGAAACCAAGGGCACCCTTGAGGGGCAACGGTAGGGGGGGATAGGCATAGGGGGGGATGCATCGACCTGGAATCGGCGATACACCGTCGATAGATCGGCGATAGGCCCCCGATAGTGAATCCGCACCTCCCTGAGCGGGGTGGGGCTGTCGGACCCCTATCGGCGATCAGTGGGCGATTGGGGGTCGATGCATCCCCCCCTATGCCTATCCCCCCCTATCGCTGCCCCCGAACCCTGGAGGCAAGCAGGGTGTCTCCTGGCATGGGCCTCCACTGCACACCCCATGCATCCGCTGCATCTTCCGAGCCCGATCGCTCTGCGATAGCCCCGGGGCCCGAGGCCCAGGGCTGAACCCGAACGGTGTTTGTCGCGTTCGTGTTGTTTCCGTTTTCCCTGGTCTCGTCTTCACTCCACCTCTGCCGCAAGACGAAGTCGAAACGAAAACGGCCCACGACACCGCCAAAACACCCTTCAGGTCCGGCCCTGCCGAGGCCCGGCGGAAGCATCCCGTGCGAGAGAATGGCAACGCCAGGATCGCAGGGGCTCTTCCCGCGGTGGGCCTCCGGCTTGCCGAGGTTGAAGATGTCCTCCTCCTGGTGGACCTGGAAGAACGCGTGCGCCCTGCGGCCCCTCATCTCCGTGGGTGGGGGCACCACGTCCTCTGATGAGGCGGCGCTCCCGGGGGGAAGTGGGAAGGGGCAGGCCTTCTCGGAAGGCTGAGGCGCTTCCTAAGCCTGCCCCAGAAGACGCCGCACATTTCTCTGCAGGGAGCCCCGCCGAACATTTCTGAGAAGGCCCTCTCCTTCTCACTTCCCCCCCTCGCTCGTCGCCGAATGATCATCGATGAGCCGGTCCCTATTCCCACTGGCGTGGCCTTCGCCCCGCCGGCTGGCTTCACCACCCAGGACATAAGAGGGTTCACGGGCCCCCCCGCCCCGATGAGATGGGTCCCAGGGTTCCGCAGCCCCCCAAGATGAGATGGGAGGACGACGAGGGCGAGGGCGAGGACGAGGACAAAGACGAAGACGACGAAGACAACGACGACGACGACGAAGAGGACGAGGACGACGACGATGACGACGACGTTGACGACAACGGCGCCGACGACAACGACGACGACGTCCATCCTCCACCACTCCACGCCCACAGGCCTACGACCACAGAGAGGGGGATCCCTTTCGCGAGGCCTTTGCGAGACTCACGGGCGTACCCATCCGGCGGGGGAGTGGCGGTTGCATCAGCGTTGGAAAGGGGGGGGAGTCCTGGATCGTGCATGCGCGTTCCTTCAGGCCTCGCGGGGCCTATCTGGGAAGCCATGGCCCAGTGGGGACAGGATTGGCAGGCGACGACACCCGAGCCCTAAGCTCACCAACCAGCGATTCTCCTGAATCGATGGGAGACGGAGAAGCATTAGGATTTTGCCACGTGCTCGACGAACTACGAGCCCGACCCCGCCGTCCATCGAACTACCTGGCTCGTTGATCGGTGAGGGTGATGCATTCAACTTTCGCCGCCGAGTGGGCCAGCCGGTGCTGGTCCTCCTCGCTCACCGACAAGCCGAGCAGGTCCGCCACCACCTGTAGGGAGCCCACGGAGGAGATGCGCGCCCAGCTGTGTACACGAACACGGCCCCCCGATCCGCGAGACTGGCCGCACGATACGAACATTTGCGCCATGCGTACTCTCGAAATCAGCGCGGATTCGTGTAGGTGTACGCCCTTCTTTCGGGGATGGACAGACCCCCTTTAGTAAAACGTGGTTTGCGAAAACGACCTGAGGCCCAAACCTGGCGGGCGCGAACCTGGGAAATGACGGCCACGGCGCCCTCTCGAGAACCGAAAACGGACAATTCACGAATCGACGCGTCACTATTGGGGGCTCTGTCCGCCCCCGATTCTTTCGCTCCTGAGCCTGGTTGCTGGCCAGCACGCGCCCGTGCTCGAGGCGGGTGCGCACCTGCAGCAGCCCCAGCACGCCAGCCACCTGGTGGCGCAGCTCCTGCACCGTCTGGCCCTCCCGCAGCTCGAGGGGTCGGAGGAGGACCGGCCGAGACGGCGGCAAACCTGCCTGGCCCCCCATCGCCCTCTCGTATGCCTCCTCCTCCTCCCTCCCTCTCCTCCTGCTCCTCCTCTCTTTTTTTCCTCTTGCTCCTCCTCATCCTCCTCCTCCTCCTCCTGTCGCCGCTTCTTTGGCGGTCCCGCCGCTTTTTTAGTTGCCGGTTCCGTTTCCCGCCCGTCCCGCTTCTGGGGCCGCTTGTGTCGTGTTCGTTCTTTTTGGTACCAGTCCTACTGTCAAGGGACACTGTTTCGGGAACGGTGAGAAAAAACGGCCCTACCATGTCCGGGTTCCATGAAGGTTACGATTGGATGCTGAGGTGGATGATATCTGGCCAAACCAACCTTGTAAGAGGGCTGCGAGTGCCCTAAGTGGCCTCACGGGTGAGGTAACTCCGCCAAGTGGGAGGTACGTGTCCCCCCTGAGCCTCTCGGGGCACTCGCGGCCCACTTTATAAGCTAGGTCAGGCCGGATGTAACCTGCTCTCGCGTCCACTTGCAGCCCCCCTGCCCCCTCACGATCGTACCCAGGACAGACATCCTGCAGGAGTATGAGACCCTCTGCTGGCCAAACTGATGAACACTCGAGGGTACACCCTCCCCCAGGGTGCACTAGAGCATCCCATAAAAACATGAAGACCCTCAGGGCACCCTCCACGAAACCGACCTCGATCTTATACCTCGTTCCGACCGAAGCACCCCCCGCGGCGATTCAAGCGCAAAACGCTATGAACATAAACTTTTGGCGCTCCGCGCGGATTTCTTGGATCTGCGCCAGACGCCCCTCCCTGGCGCGCGGAACGCGCCAGGGGCGGCGGCGGAGGCGCCGCCAGGGGGGCCCAGCGCGGATCCAAGAAATCCGCGCGGAGCGACAAAAGTTTCTGCCTTTAGCGTTTTTTCTTCTTCGACTCCACTGGCCCTCCTCCGGATGGAGGCCTCCTTGCCCTCCACCGTCCGCACGGTGAGGAGTGACGGCGGCCCCGCGGGCGCCATGACTCCGGCGGCGCGCGCGCGCAAGGGACGGGGCGAATGGGAGCCTCCCTGGTTAGACACGCGCGTCCCACTACTCGATTATGGCCTGGATACACAAAGGGAAATGCACGATCTACCACGACGGGGTAAGCCTTCTTTTTTGTTCCGGACGTTTGCGAGTAGGGCACTCTGCGAGTTTTGGAACACGCTCGCTTACTGGTTGTTGCCGTGTGTCTCCGCGCGCGTTCCCGCTTGAGGAGGACCCGCCCGCGCCCGCTCCCGCGGCTCTCCGACGTGCTCTTCGGCCCCGTCGCTGCGCGCGAAGCCGCGCGGCCGCCGAGAGCGTGCGCGTGCGCGCTTCGCTCTGTAGGGGCGGTACGTCCTGGCCTCTGAATTCAGAAAGTGGAATTAAAAACCAATATGTTGAATTCAAAAACCAATCATTTGAATTCGAGTACAATAATGTTTCTTGAATTCCAAAAAAACAATCCTCACACACACACGTATATATATATATACAAAAAAACACTCTCCTGAATGGTAGCGGCGGCTGGGACTGGCCTACGGCAAGTTCGCGTCGTGTCGACATTGGCGTCGGTTCCTGACACCGCGGGGACCGTTCAAACTTGAACGATAAGAGCGTTTCGCGAACGCGGGATCGGTCAACGACGGGCCGATTCTGGGCCACGGGCGGCGTTCAATCTGAAACGCCTGCGGCGGGGTCGCCACCGGTCCGCACGACGCGAACCTGTCGTAGGAGGGGGACACCTCGACCAGGGGGCGGAAATGCGTCGCCGACACGCGGGCGGTGGGGCCCCGACGCTGAATCCGCACCTTCTTGGGCAGGCTGGGGAAGAATGGGCGATTGGGGGGTGGTGCATCCACCCCTATAGCCTACCCCACGATCGCTGCCCTTGACCCTCACTCCCCGCCGTCCCCCAAGCCTCCCCGCTCTCCCACTTCATCCAAACCTCGGAGTTCTGGGCCCCGAAAACCGACAGGAAGGCATATGCACCGATCCTGGGCGCAGCAGGGGCCTGGCCAGAACCAGTGCGCGTGCAGAGCTGGCGCTCTCCTCGACCCCCGACATTTCTCCCCTCGCGTGAGCCCCCACCGCGAGTGATACAGTGATGCTGTCGAATGAGCGCGAAGTCATGGCGGGAACGATGAATAGGCGGGGGAAGACCGGTGCACTCCTCTGACCTCGGAAAAAGGCATCCCTTTGGGCCCGAAAGGGCCCTGAATCGGACACATCTACATCTACACACAGCAAAACTGCACCTTGTTGCGGGGACGAAGAGGTGGCAATCATAATTAAATTTGGCGCGTCGGTCGGTCTGGGTGGACGGACACCACCTCGCGACTTACGATGGAGGGCGATGGTCGTGCCGACGACGTTGCGTGCCAAGCGTGGGAGCCATCACCATGTTTCACGGCGAAGCTTGGCGGCAACCGCAAGAGAAATCATAACGCGAACAAGGTTTCACCCTCGGACGGGGAATCTGGCACGAAGAAGAATTCCAAAGCGCGGGGGATCGGATCGTGAATTTGCTGCTGGTGCACAGACGGGGAAGGGAAGCGGACTGCGCGTCCTCGAGGCCCCCGGGCATACGGCTGGATTCGCTGGGCCAGGAGATGTGGGATGTCGGTGGGAGCCGGCCCAGGGGGCAGGGCCTCGGCTATGGGCAGCGCGGGCAGCCGATGCTTCGCGAATAAAGGACACGTTCAGAACGGCACTTACCGGCCGGGGCGCGGTACACGTTGGGAGCGCGAGTGGCGGCACCCGACATGCACCCCGCCCCGCTGGCTAAGTGTAGTTCTATAAGTGCTCCGTTTTGTGAGGATGTCTCCAGCGAAACCAGCACGTACAGAACTACACCTAGTGCCTGGCGAAGTGTGTGATGGATGTCTCGCGCGGGGCGAGCACGTACAGACCAGCGCCTAACGAACGGGACGGGGTACAGGTCGGGTGCGTCGTTGCGCCCCGCCCGCAGAGTCAGGAAGACAAGGGCCGCTGAACCCCCTGCCGGCCTCCGGGCGGAAATGTCTGAACGTCCCGGGGCTATCAGAAGGAGTTCTAAGTGCGGCCTCCACCCACATCGCTCCCCCTGTCAGAGCATCTCGCCTGGTCACTATGTTCCCCATTCCCGCCCGCTGCTTTGCCCTCCCCCATCCCCCGTGCTTCCTCTACCTGCCGCCCTCCATGTCCCTAAACATTTCCTAATTGCCCCTGGCCTCTGCGTGGCAGCAAACGCCCGTACCCCCCCGCAGCTGAAAGACTCACCTTGCGCTCATCCTTCAATCCACCCGTGAGGCGCAAGTCTTGATTCCAGACTGACACTGGCAAACGACGACGAAGCCCAGGCAAATCCAACAGGCGCGATCGGCTCCCTCGAATGACGGGCGATACAATACGTAAGACGACGTCGTACAAATAAATTCGGAGTTTGGGGATCCGCGCAAGAAGCTAATCCACTCGCCCAAAGTGTAGGTCTGTGCCTGTCCGACTGAAGGGCCCCTTTTCTGCAGCCCTCGCTCCCCCCATTTAATCGCCCCCCCCATTTCAGGGGCGGCCTAACCGAACCCTAGCAAACCATCCCCTTCCTCCCCTTCGCCTCTCCCCAAGACGTATGCATGCGGCATGCGGGGCATGCGGGTGGAGGGGAGCTCGGAAGGCGAGGATGACGTCACGGTAAGGCATGGTGGTGGTGAAACATCGGCCCATCATCCTGCCAGGAAGACACAAAGCACCGTTCCCGGCGCATGCCATCGTCCTCCTGCTCCTCCTCCTCCTCCTTCTCCTCCGCCTCCTCCTCCCTCCAAATCCTCCTCCCTCCGTCTCGCCTCGACTCGACTCTGAAGGCATAAGAGGGTACACTGCCTGTCCTGAAGCAGACAAGGGGTAGAGAAGAAGGCAGAGAGAAAGAACCCAAAGAGGGGGTACAGCCACACCGCCGGTGTGGGCACCCTTAGTCCCGAGCATGCAGTCATCGCCCTCCACTCCTCCCTCTCCTTCCCCCTCCTCCTCCCCCTCCTCCTCCTCCTCCTCCTCCTCCTCCTCCTCCTCCTCCTCCTCCCCTCCCTCCCCCTCCCCCTCCCCCTCCCCCCCTCCCCTCCCCCTCCCCTCCTCCCACTCCCCCTCCTCTCCTCTTCCTCCTCCTCCTCCTCCTCCTCCTCCTCCTCCTCCTCCTCCTCCTCCTCCTCCTCCTCCTCCTCTTTCTCCTCCCTCGCGCCAGCGCGGCCGCCCCCAGGTGGGGCCTCCGCGCCGCCGCGGTGCGCTCGGCAGCGCCAGACGCTGCTGAATCCGCCGCGGCCGACGGGGTACTCCCCGAGCAGGCGGAAGTGGTGCTCGAAGCGGCGGGGCTGGCGGGCGCGGCAGAGGGGGAGAGGGAGGGAGGAGGGAGGGAGGAGGCATTCCTATGATGCTCCTCGGGGGTCACGAGGGAGAGGGGGGGGAGGGAGGGTTGGGAGGACGAGGGGGATGGAGGAGAGGGGGGAGGAGGAAGAGGAGGACCGAGGGGGGGAGGAAGGATGGATGGGGGGAGGTCAGAACACGAGGATATGGGACGAGAAGCACAGAAATTGGGGAGAGGGGGAGGAGGGGGAGGAGGAGGAGGAGGAGGAGGAGGAGGAGGAGGAGGAGGAGGAGGAGGAGGAGGAGGAGGTGGGGCCGACGAGAATAAGGACGAGGACGATGGGCGATAGGGGGATAAGAAGAAGATGGGGGGAGGGGAATGAGGAGGAGGCGAGAAGAAAAGCAGAGGCAACACGGAGAGGGTGAGGAGGACGAGCATGAGCAAGAGGCAGAAGCTGGTGACGACCAACCCCCACACAGCAACACATGCGGGTAGGGGGGGTCAAAACATCGAAGGCTTTGCTCACCAACTGCGGCGACCCGCGAACCGTCCCTTCCTCCTGATCCTCGTCCTCCTTCCTCCTTTCACCATCCTTCTTACCACCCTCCTCGTCTTCGTCCTCATCCGCCGCCTCCTCCTCCTCCTCCTTCTCCTCCTCCTCCTCCTCCTACTCCTCCGTCCATCCCAATCGTCCTTCTCATCCGCATCCCTCTGCCTCCTCTTTCTCATCTTCTTCCTCCTCCTCTCCTCTGCTCCCACCATCCTCCGTCCGAATCAGTCCACCTCCATCCTTATCCCCGCTCCGCCCCATCCGTGCCCTCGGCCTTCGTCCGCCTTTTTTCCCCCCTGAGTGTCCGAGATGCGACGAGCGGGCGGACTGGCTCAGGAAAGAACAGCCGCTCACTTGATTGAAATCGGCGATGCCTCGCCAGCAGATCAGCACCAAGCTTTGTGATATTTTGTAACGCTGCACGTTCAGGGGCAGGCTTCGGGGGGAACGAAAGGGGGGGATAGCAAAGGGTAGGGTAGAGAATCAGCTCACGTAGCTGATTTTCCCAGCGCCTCCCGGCGCCGGGAGGCGCCCAGGTATCGAGGAATGGGCCCGGCGGCGGGGCCGAAACCAGCTGCACGCAGCAGATTTTGTAACCGCCCCTTTCCCTATCTCCCCTTTTCGTTCGGCTTGAAAGTTGGGGCCCTGGGGCCCCCATCGGCGAGAGCCATGGGCGACTGGGGGCTGATGCTCCCCCTGTGAGCTAAGTGCGGCAAATTCGCGTCGTGTCGACCCCGGCGTCGTCGGTTCCTGACACCGCGGGGATCGTTCAAACTTGAACGATAGGGGCGTTTCGCGAACGCGGGATCGGTCAACGACGGGCGGCGTTCAACCTTAAACGCACGCGGTGTGGTCGCCGCTGGTCGGCACGACGCGAACCTGCCGTACTCACCCCTTCCCAGGCATCTGGCGCCGCGATGTTTTCACAACGTGGCCCCCTAGACCACATTCTGAGGACAAGCTTCTTGTCCGAACCATATCTGACGAGCCACGGTGCCCGGCCAGATACCTCAGAGGCCGAAACTTGATTCACACACATACACAAACACATACGCACACACCTGCCGTCAGAACTGCTCACACTGCGTCACAAATCCGGCCTCAGGCGGAAATTTGTGGTCCGGGCGCCCAGAAAGGAGGCGCAGCCGATGGAAACCAGCCTGGGGCATGCAAACCATCGAAGACAGAAAACATGCGAACACGTCCCACGGCCAAGTTCCTCCTCCTCCTCCTCCTCTTCCACCTCCTCCAGCTGCTCCTGCTCTTCCTCGTCCTCCTCCTCTGGTCGACACCCCTGGTGATGCCTCCTGGGTACGCGCGAGGCCAAATGTGTGGTTTTACGCTGACCAGTCTTTAAGCATCGAGGCTGGCAGCGTCCGTGAGGAACGAAGAACACCAAAATCATGTTAAGCAACTCAAGCTCGGTGGCGCGGCACAGAACAGGCCAGGCATAGTGAGTCAAAAGGGGCAGTCTTAAGAGGCCTGCCAAGGCGTAGAGTATGCGCCCACCTGGTCAGCAAGGGGGCGATGGAGGTGATTCAGATCCCAGTCCTTTTCCTTCTCCTTCTCCTCCTTCTCCTCCTTCGTCTCGACCCTCGGCCCCCTGCCCCCCACGGCAGTTATCCCCACCTCGCCCCCCCCCATCGATGCAACTCTCCTACCCTCAGTCCCGATGAAGGAGCCCTCCTGCTCCTCCTCCTCCTCCTCCTCCTCCTCCTCCTCCTCCTCCTCATCATCATCATCATCATCCACGGCTGCTGCTCCTCACCTCCCCCTTCTCCTCCACCATGGGGGAAGAGGAAAAGGATGAGATTGATGAGGGGCGAGACAGAGAAGAAAGAGGAGGATGCCCCTCCTCATCCCCCCCTCCTCCCCCTCCCCCTTCTCCTCCCCCTCCTCCCCTTTCTTCTCCCCGTCTTCATGGGTCCTGGGTCCTGAGGGCAAGAAGATCTGTCAGACGTTGCCTTCCCCCACTCCTCCTCCCTCTCCTCCTTCTCCTCCTCCTCCTCCTCCTCCTCCCCCTCCTCGTCATTCTGGTCCTCGTCTTCCTCCTCGTCCTCCTCCTCCTCCTCATCCTCCTCCTTCTCCTCCGCCCGCACTCCCCTGACACGGGCGCCTCTGGCGACTGCGGCTCTGGCGTGCGCTCGGGCACCGCCGCGCGCAACTCGGCCGCGAGCGTTGGCGGGCCTTCCGCAGGCCCCTCGCGGCGGGCGTCGCACGGCCCACCGGGGAGGGGGTTCCTCCTCCTCCTCCTCCTCCTCCTCCTCCTTTCCTCCTCCTCCTTTCCTCCTCCTCCTCCTCCTCCTCTTCTTCTGCGCCTTCTCATCATCCTCATCCTCTCCTCCTCATCCTCCTCCTGCTCCTCCTGCTCCTCCGCCTCCTGTACCTCCTACTCCTGCTCGTCCTCGTCTTCTCCTCCTCCTCCTCCTCCTCCACCACCTCTTCCTCGTCTCCTTCTCCTCCACCGCTTCCTTTTCCTCCTCCTTTTCCTCCTCCTCCTCCTCCGCCGCCGCCTCCTCATCCCTCGTTTCCTCCTCCTCCTCATCATCCTCTTCTCGCTCCTCCCCCCCTCCTCCTCCTCCTCCTCCTCCTCCTCCTCCTCCTCCTCCTCCTCCTCCTCCTCCTCATTTTCTCATGTTCTTCCTCCTCTCCCTTTCCCATCTGCCGCCTCCTCTCCCTCTTCTTTCCTTTTTTTCGCATCCTCTTCTTCTTCCTCCTCCTCCATCCTCTTACATTTCTTCCACCTTGTTCTGCGTTAGACGATGGGCAGACACTAATGCCAAGCATGTTGCGCTCGATGTTCCTGATGATCCTCCTCGTCCTCCTTTTGCTCCCCTCCCCTCCCTTTTTGCCGCATCCCTCCTTCCCTTGCTCCACCTCTTCCTCCTCGTCCTTCTCCTCCTCGTCCGTCTCCTCCTGCTTTTTCACCTCTTTCACTGCTGCTGAAGATGGGCAAGCAGCAAGGCCAAGCTTGTTGCGTTAATAGTCCTACTGTTCCTCCTCGTCCTCCTCCACCTCCTCTCCCTTCCCCTTCTGGCACATCCCTCCTTCCCTTTGTCCGCCTCCTCCTACCCTCCACTGCTTGTGACGTTGGGCAAACATTGAAGCCAAGCCTCTTGCGTTCATCTTCCTAAACGTGGAGGGAACATGCACTGCCACATCGTTGGTGCGCCCTCGGTTTTAAATGGTCCTCCTCCTCCGTGTCCTCGATCTCCTCCGCCTTTCTCCTCTCTCCGTTCCTCCCCCTGCTGATCCCCCTTCTCCTCCTCCTCCGCCGCCTCCTCCTCATCTCCTATCTCCAGCCCCCTGCTTGGGTTATGCGGCTGGGCGAAGGAGCTGAGGTACGAGGGCCACGATCGATAGGAAGTACGAGGGACGCAATGCGGCGTGGCATCGCGGGCAGCGGTGTGGCTTCTCACCGGCGGAACCCTTGGCAATGCCCGCACGTCGGATGACTACCCCTCTGGAACACATTATGCACGACCCCCTCCTCTTATTCCTCTTCCTCCTCTTCCTGCTGCTCCTCCTCCTCCTCCTCCTCCTCCTGCTCCTCCTCCTCCTCCTCCTCCTCCTCCTCCTCCTCCCTCTCCTCCACCTCCTCCTCCTCCTCCTCCTCCCCCTCCTCCTCCTCCTCCTCCTCCTCCCTGTCGATCCCTCCATCTCCTCCCCGTCCTCCCCTTCCTCCCCTCCTCCTCCCTAGCATCCCACCGTCCCCTCTCTCCCCCCTCCTCTCTCCTCCTTCCCCTTCCTGGCTCTCCCTCCTCCCCCCTCCCCCCCCCCATTCCCCTTCTTGCCTCCCTCCCTCCTTCTTCTCCGCCCTCCCTGCCCAGGGCCCTCCAGAGGCCACTGCCGAGATCCCGGCATCTCCAAGAAGAAGGTCCCTAGAAGGAGGCGCTCGGCCATGGTCCCCGGGAGCCCACGTACTCAGTTCGCAAGGGGGGCTCGCAACGGCCCAAGGCGCCCAAGTGACTCGATCCGTCTCGATCTTCCTCTCAGTGCCCCTCCCTCCCTCCCACACCTCCTGCTCCCATCTCCTTTTCGTCCTCCCCCTGCTGCAGAAAGAGAGTCAAAGGACAGAGGCGGGCCAGCAAGCAGCATTAGGGAGCGAGAAAGTCCTGAAGGCAGCGCGCGCGGAACCGATTCGGGCAGAGGCGGGTGGCGCCAACGAACCACTCTTTTTCTCATCCTCCTCTTCTTCCTCCTCGTCCCTCGCCTCCTCCTCTTCCTCCTCCTCCTCCTCCTTCGCCTCCTCCTTTTGCTCCATCTCCTCCTCCTCCTCCTCCGCCTCCTCCTCCTGTATCATCCCACTCGTCCTGCTCCTCCTCTCTGCTGTCTCCCACTGCTCCTCCTCCTCCTCCTGCTCTTCCGCCTCCGCCTCCGGCATCATCCTCTTCATCCCCGCGACAGCAGCTGCCAACCAGACATCGGTGGCGGCACGCGGGGGGACCTCTGGGGCGCAGCAGGCCTCCATCGCGGGGCAGCGGCCTGGGCTCGACCCCCCTCCCCGCTGGCTCCGCCGCTGCTGGCGATCGGTGATGGAGGCGCGGGGGCGAGAGAGGATTGAGGATCGCCGCTGCCAGGACCGAAGATATACCAGTGGAGGAGCGACCGAGAATGGAGGGGCGAGGACTGGTGCCGATCGAGCATCGCCGCTGCCAGCATGGAGAAGCGAGGATCCAGGATCGAGGATCGAGCACCGCTGGCCTCGACCCCCCACCAAGCCTCACACGGACTGGCCCTGCTACTCCCCCCCTTCTCGCTCAATGGCCCCCGGCTCCGTCTCAGAGTAGGGGCTGTCAGCGGGCTGCGCTCCACCTTCTTGCAACGAAGGCAGCATGCAGCATGAGGACAACTTCGGGTGAGAATGAACATCGGGAGGATGCATCGGGCGCCGTGGCTGGCTTCAGAGAGCCCAGAACGCTCTGAGAGCGTTCTGGAACGCTTTGGAGAATGTGTTTCTCACAGTACGGCTGACCAATTCCCGACCGGCATCGCCGCCGCCGATAACCGAGGCTCAAGGGTTTCGGACGTCTCTGGCCCTTCCTGATCCTCTGAGGGGCGCCCGGAGACCTCTCGGCCCGATCATCGTCTTCGTCGTCGTCGCCGCCGTCGTCGGCTCGCTGGCGGCGTCGTCAACGTCGTCGACAAGAAGGCCCAGGAGACTCCTCCAGGAACTCTCCACAAGAAGGCCTTCTCCAGAGACCCTGGGGACACTCAGAAGGCCCCCTCCTCCAGTCTCCTGGGAGGCCCCCTGAAAACTCCCCGAGGCCTTGGAGGCCTCCACCTCATCCTCCTCACCGTCGTCTCCGTCCTCTTCCTCCTGCCTCCTTTTTCCTCCTCCTCCTCCTCGTCCTCGTCCTCCTCCACCCTCCTCCTCCTCTTCCTCCTCCTTTTCCTCCTCCTTCCGCCCTCCTTCCCCTCCTCCTCCTCCTCCTTCTCCTCCTGTTCCTGCTGCTGCTCCTCCTCCTCTGCCTCCTCCTCATCCTTTTCCCGTTCCTTGTCCTCCTTCTCCTCCTCCTCCTCCTTCTCCTCCTCCTCCTCTTCCTACTCCTGTTCTTGCCCACCCCTCCTCCTTATTGTTATGCGCCTCGAACTCCCCCCCCATCCAAGCGAAAAGCGGCCCCGAGCTCCGAGCGCGGCGTGGCTTCCACCAGCCGCAGCAGGGTGACGCCGCCACTGCCTGGCACCTCCCGCGCGCGCGAAGGGAGGAGGCCAACCAGCGTGCGTTGGACCACTGGCGGCGCGTGGGTTTGCCAGCATGGCGGGGGGGACCGCCCCGCGAAGCGCCGCCGTGCCCGACAGCGCATGGGGCCGCATCGCTGGGGCGTCGGGTCGCTGTGTGGCCCCCTGCCCTGGCCAAAGCAGGGCAGACGCGTCAGGCGGTGGGACGGCGGGGGGGGCGGGCAAAACGGGTGGGGGCATGGGGGGGGGGTTGGGTGGGGGGGGGGTCGGGAGGGATGTTCCCGTTGGTGGGGTGGGGTGGGTGAGTGGTGGAGAATCGCAGAGGGGCGGGCAGGCGGGGGGGGGGGGCGGGGGGGACAGAGGGGCGGAGAAGGATAGGAAAAGGATGGGGAGGGGATGTCTGGTGGCAACTCCCAGGATGTCTTCGTATGATAAAACAAATAAACATAGGCCTACTAAGCCGCATACGTGCGATATTCTTCTATATTATATAAAATATTATATATAAACGAGGGAGCGATGGAAAAGATCGTGTCTGGCCCTTCGTTGGCCAATCCACGGGAACGGCTTAAACATTGCTCGAACATATGAAGCGCTTGCGTTTTTAACTGTTTGGGGTCCAGCAACACGCGCTTGCCTCTCAGACAACCGAAAACGAAGCCGAGATCGAATTTGGCTGAACACGCACACACGCGCACGCGTTTCAAAACACCTGCGACACTAAACAACGGGAGTTTTGTCACGAAGCGCGGACGCGGCCGACCCGACAACTATTGGAGCACAGCGCAGCGGCCCGAACGAACAATTTGGTCACGGGGACGGCGGAAGCGGCACATTGAGCACGACACCGCCTCGAACAGCAACGCGTTTAAACGCGGGCGCGGCAAAACCGGCAATTTGAACGCTGCGCCGCCCCACCGATCGAGCGCGGAAACAGAACCACCCGGGAACAAACATTCAAATGGAACCGGCCGGAACAGACCGTTTAGCACGAACACGGCCGAAAGAAAAATTGAAAGAGATAACAAACGAAACGGCAACATGAACACGAAGCCGCCCGCGTGAGCAAATTTGAGCACGGAGACGCCCAGCGCGGAGATTTCCGGCGGTGGCTCCGCTCCTCCCAGCTGTCTCTCGAAAGGCCCGCTTCCTGGTGCGCGGCCCGCTTGTCGGCGTGGCGCCGCAAGACGGGGGCGATCCTGGAGCGGGCGTCGCGCCTCTGGAACGGACGGCGATTGCCCCAAAGAGCGTGGAGTCGCCCCCCCGCCCGGGCGGCCTTGCCGCAAAGTTTCGCGTCGCCGATGCTCGGGCAAAGCGCGTCACGCCCCCGCGCGGGCCAGGCCGAACCCGCCGAGACAGCTCCGACGCCCGTGCCCCCCAGGGACGTTCGCCTCCCGGGCCGCTGCCTAGGCCGTCGGCGCAAACGCAGCAGAAAAGGCGCCGCCACCGTGGAGCAGAAGAACGCCCTCCGAATTGAGCGCCGCATCGGCGTGGCTGGCGACGAGATACGCGACCGCGCGAGAAAAGTCTGCGAGGAAAGGCCCCCGCTCGCGCCACGTCCGACGTATGCTGCGGAAGCCGCGACCCGGATTGCGAATCCAGCGCGCGGGCGTCGCCCGACGCCGGTCCTCGGTGGGCCTGCCTGGCGCCGCCCGCCCTGCCGAGTCCCTGGAACGACAGGCGCCGCCTCCCTAACGGCGGGCTGCAAAGCGCTTTGCCGAGCATCGAGGGCGCAACCCGCGCCGCGAAATGGGCCCTGCACGACGCGGGCACGCGCCGCGCTTAGGCCCACACTAAGACGCGCTGGTCCAAGTCGCCAGCGCAAAGAACAAAGAGACCGCATAATGCGTTGCGCCTGACAGGCGGTGCAACGGCGCGGAGTAATGAAGGAGAGAGAGGGAGAGAGAAATACAGAAAGAAAAACACTCTTTTGATCCGCGGGTCGAGAAAGCGCACCTCTTCCGGTCGAAGCTAAGCGGGCCGCGCGAAGCTTGAATTAGGCAGAGAAGAGGAGGGAGGAAGCGGCGGAGCCCCACAGAAAGAGAAACACATAGAGACAGAGAGAAAAATTATCCCGGCAAAGCAACCTAACAGCGATGTGTAGAAGCATATCTGAAAGCATTCCCCTGAAGATTCAAATGAAAATCCAGTTGTAGAATTCTGCTGTTCTCGCAGTCGTAGTCGCATTCGCGATGACAGTCGCAGCGGCAACGGCAGTCGCAGTCACAGCCTCAGCCTCAGCCTGCCTCAGCCTCAGCCTCAGCCTGCCTCAGCCTCAGCCTGCCTCAGCCTCAGCCTCAGCCTGCTTCAGCCTCAGCCTCAGTCTGCCTTCAGCCTCGGCCTCAGCCTCAGCCTGCCTCAGCCTCAGCCTGCATCAGCCTCAGCCTCAGCCTCAGCCTGCCTCAGCATCAGCCTGCTCAGCCTCAGCCTCAGCCTGCCTCAGCCTCAGCCTCAGTCTGCTTCAGCCTCAGCCTCAGTCTGCCTTCAGCCTCGGCCTCAGCCTCAGCCTGCCTCAGCCTCAGCCTGCCTCGGCCGCAGCATCAGCTTGCCTCAGCATTCAAAATGTGGCCCAGGAATGGAGTTCTGGGAACTAGAAGAACACGAAGTGGCCTACAGTTGGCTCCGGGCATTCAAAATCATGCCCAGGAATGGAGTTCTGGGAACTTGAAGAGCACGAAGTGGCCTACAGTTGGCTCCGGGCATCCAAAATGTGGCCCGGGAATGGAGTTCTGGGAACTCGAAGAGCACGAAGTGGCCTACAGTTGGCTCCGGGCATCCAAAATGTGGCCCGGGAATGGAGTTCTGGGAAGTCGAAGAGCACGAAGTGGCCTACAGTTGGCTCCGGGCATCCAAAATGTGGCCCGGGAATGGAGTTCTGGGAGCACCAAGAGCGATTTTGCGAGGATGTCCCAAGCGATTTCGGCTTCGGCGGCAGCCTCTCCGGGTCCCGCCCAGACCCCCCTGAGGAATCATGATGCTCTCTTTTGAGACCACTAGAAACCAATCAGCAAGAGCTGTTAGGTAAAATATACATACTTTTGAAAAAAGACAACACCACAAAACATAGCCCCACGAACGACCCAACAACATGCAGCTACGTACCGCGTTCGGTGGAGCTCCCTCTGGGGCCACGAAGCGTGCGAGGGGTGCGCCGAAATCGGTGGCGCGGACGCATGTGGACACCGGCACTGGGACCTTCGGTTGAGCTCCCTATGGGACCATGAAACGCTGTCCTGGGTGGGGGGGGGCGCACGCGTACTGCACCATTGGGACCTTCGCTGGAGCTCCTTACGGGGCCACGAAACGTATTCATGGGTGGGGGAGACGCATGCGAACTGCGCCACTGCCGCCTTCGGTGGAGCTCCCAACGAGGCCCGAAACGTTTTCCTGGGCGGGGGAAACGCATGCAATCGGTGCCATTGGGGCCTTCGGTGGAGCTCCCAACGTGGCCACGAAGCGCTGTCCTGCGAAGCGTAGACGAATGCGGCCTGCGCCACTGGAGCCTTCGGTGGGGCTCCCTATGCGGGGCGAAGCGCTTTCAAGGGTGGGGGAAACGCATACGATCGGTGCCATTGTGGACTTCGGTGGAGCTCCCGATGGGGCCACGAAGCGCTGTCCTGGGTGGGGAGGCGCATGTGGCCTGCGCCACTGGAGCCTTCGGTGGAGCTCCCCATGGGGCCGCGAAGCGCTGCCCTGGGTAGGGGGGCCGCATGCGGCCTGTGCCACTGGAGCCTTCGGTGGAACTCCCTATGGGGCCACGAACCGTGTGAGGGGTGCGCCTACGTGGGCGGCATGGGCGCATGCGGCCTGTGCCACTGGAGCCTGAGGTGGAGCTCCATATAGGGCCGCGAAGCGATGTCCTGGACGGCGGTGACGCATGCGGCCTGCGCCACTGGAGCCTTCGGCTGAGCTACATATGGGGCCACAACGCGGCCTCTTGGGTGGCGTTGACGCATGCGGCCTGTGCCACTGGAGCCTTATGTGGAGCTCCCTATTGGGCCACGAAGCGCTGTTCTGGGTGGCGGCAACGCATGCGGCCTGTGCCACTGGAGCCTAGCTCCCTATGGGGCCGCGAAGTGCTGTCCCGGGTGGCGTTGACGCGCGCGGCTTGTGCCACTGGAGCCTTCGGTGGAGCTCCCTATCGGGCCACGAAGCGCCGTCCTGCGCAGCGTAGACGCATGCGGCCTGCGACGATGGAGCCTTCTGTGGAGCTCCTTATGGACCCACGAAACGCTGCCCTGGGTGGCGGCAACGCATGCGGCCTGTGCCACTGGAGCCTTCGGTGGCGCTCCCTCTGGGGCCACAAAGCGGCCTCCTGGGTGGCTTTGACGCACGCGGCCTGTGCCACTGGAGCCTGAGGTGGAACTCCCTATGGGGCCGCGAAGCGCCGTCCTGGGATGCGGCAACGCATGCGGCCTTCGCCACTGGAGCCTTCGGTGGACCTCCCTATGGGGCCACGAAGCGCTGTTCTGGGTGGCGGTGACGCATGCGGCTTGTGCCACTGGAGCCTTCGGTGGAGCTCCCGATGGGGCCGCGAAGTGCTGTCCCGGGTGGCGTTGATGCGCGCGGCTTGTGCCACTGGAGCCTTCGGTGGAGCTCCCTATCGGGCCACGAAGCGCTGCGGTGGCGGCAACGCATGCGGCCTGCGCCGCTGGAGCCTTCGGTGGAGCTCCCTATCGGGCCCGAAACGCTGTCCTGTGCGGGTGAAACGCAGGGAGGTGACGAGGCGGATGGGAGGATGGAGGGGGAGGAGGAGGGGGATGAGGAGGAGGAGAGGAGAGGAGACGCGGGGCGCTGTCTCTTCAAAACGAGGACCCAACGCCACAGGATGGTTGGGGGGAAAAAAAAAAACGGCTCCTTCCTGGGAGAGTGAGCGCAAGCGTGCCTACCAGCTGCGCACAGCCTTCAGCGCGCAGTCGTAGATATCCCGGTGAACGGGCGGGGGCTCGGCGCACTCCCGCATCGTCACCGCGGCAAGTCATCCAATGGAAGGCGGGTGCCGGCC